CCTCGTGTTATGCTCCTCCTCGCAAGCGTCTCCCTTCGTACGGATCCAATCTTCTTTTCGGGAGCAAATCTGCGTGAGAATCCTCTTTGTCAGGGCTTAACTCTTGGGCGGTTACACTTTTAAAATGAGAGAGAGTATTTCTGTCGTCCCGCGGAAAAACGCCTTATGAGCGCCCACATATTGCCGAAACCTATTGAATGAAGAACGGATGTTCGGGGAAACTTGTAAATATCTTTGTCTTCTAATTTTTAAAGAATTTTGTTCGCAATTTAATTTGAAGTATATTATGATTTTGAGGAAAATTATCTATGGCTGCCTGTGAAAAATGGATATTTTATTAGGAGCAAAATCGGCAACGTCTGAATTTTCATACGGCGTTCTTCCCAAGCCCGGCAGAATTGGTAACTTGATTCGCGGAATTTCCGGAAAAAGATTGTCGGAATTATTTTCTCCAGTCATTCGCGATGGCTGAGCTGCCGCAGTGCTGCTACTCCTCTCTCTCCGTTCCTAACTCACTTCGGTTGGCAAATCTGCCGCGCTGAGAAAGAACGCCGTATGAACCCTCAGGCGTTGCCAAATTTCCCCCGTTAAAATACGAATTTCCGGAGACATGTTTGCATATTTTTCTTTCAACTTTTTGTAGGATTTTAGTCGCAATGTTATCCAATATGTCTGAAAACTTCACAGAAAGATGTTCGCAAATTTCCTGAAAAATAAATATTTTATCCTGAGAAATTTGGCAATATGCGAATGTTCATCCGTCGTTTTTCCTTAGCAAGGCAGATATTTTGTCGTGCTGAGGACAAGACTGATACAAGAATTAGGGCGTTGCAGAATTTTTTCCAATTAAGTAGCAGGTTGGAGTGATACATCTTTGTAAAATCTGTCTCTCTAACATCTCGGCACCGTTTATATCAGTGTATGCCTTGAAACCTTATCAGAAAGTTCGATTGGTACACATAACATTTTTAAAAATTGAATATGTTAATGATAATAATATGGCGCCATTCGAGCGCTATATTTCACAACGATTTAGAGAGTTTCGGTTCAGCCTATTTTGCATTACATTGAGCAGGGTTTTTTTTTAGTGGAAATTAATATTTTTCTATTATCACTGCCCGCTCACTTGTAGCAACTCGCTAGATAGAGCATTAAAATACTTATATATTTAGGCGCACAGAGCAAGTTTCTTGCAGCGGTTTTTAAATGGGAGCAGTTTAAAATTTGTGTGCCGTGTTTGTTAACATTTGAACCACGACTTAGCAACTATATCAGTCTATATTCGATAGGCGATGCTTCAAATTTTGCGGCGTCGCAGAATTTGGACCATCACAACCACGCAGTAGATGTCACCTTTTCCAGGTACTCATATAGGTGCGTGTGTCGCAGTCACACGACCTCCAATTTGAGCTCCCCGCTGTTGAGCGTGTTATATGTATGTGCTACCTCCTTGTGCTAGATACGCCTGTGGTGACATACGGGCGTATTGGAGGAAATAGCCGCCCGTAGAGCCGTGTACAACAACTTTTTTCACATTTTTCCCCCGCACCTTTTTTTCTCTATTCGTCAGTGGATGCTGCGAATAATAAAGGGGGGAAATTGTCATGAGAAGAATAGCCTGGACTGGTGGTCCGTCGTGACGAGTGGTCGAGTCCCTCGATTGTGAGACTCGTGCATGGTTGCCAAGCTATGCTGAAAATTATCATTTTCTTTCACGAATCAGTCGCTCATACTCGGCTCTTTTAGTCATACTCGTAACTAGAAGAATTCTCCAGGAATGACCTATCCCTCACTTCTCCAGCAGGGGTCTTGGTCTTCCCACTGCACAGCGAAGTCTCCAGATAATTTCTCCTGAAACACTGTCCTCTTTTCGACGCAGTTTTCTCAACCTCTTCTTCTTCTATTTCGCCTTCTCTTCTTTTTTCTCATCTCCTAAATTTTCTTCTTCCTCTCTCTTTTTTCTGTTTTACCTTGTTCCTCATACTTCTCTTTCTTCTAATACCTCTTTCCTACACTGGAAAAAAACACATTGGATCTAGAGTCCAGACTCTTGAAAACATTGACAAGAAAAATGACTCTTGATTCAATCAGATTTAAGCTTAAATCAAAAGGAAATCCGCTCAAATTAAGAAGCTTGGTTCTTGATTTAAGCTTAAATCTGATTGAATCAAGAGTACTTTTTCTTGTTTATGTTTTTAAGAGTCTGGACTCTGGATCCGATGTGTTTTTTTTCTTCTTTTTTTCCAAGGTTCTATGCTTCTCCTCCGATTAATACTTATAGAGAGAAAATTCTTAAATTTGCTGTCAATAAACTGTTTTTCTAGAATCACGAATAAAGCTGCTTGCCTTGAGCTACTTTTGTGCTTACCAAGCATATTTATTTGGTCACAAAGATATTCAGCTTGAATCAAGATAAAAAAAGAAGAAAAAATTAATTGGCGGTAGATTATAGAATTATCATGTTTAAATCGTATTTTCTTTGGTGTGGTGCATCCCACATGGTAAGGAATCTTTAAACTCGAGTCCGTCACCCAGGTAGTAAAATATGCAAATCGCCGTACAATCTGGCAACCTGGGAGCTGCGAGTCCGTGGCGTCATTGTCGTCTGAATCGTCTCGAATGTGGGGCACGTGGGGCGGGGCTTCAGGAGGGGGCGCGGGGGCGGGGGAATCGCGTCCGAGGGGAAAGTTGTCAATTTTCAGGCTACCCGACGCAACTGACCGCAAATGATTCGATTTGACTGGGCTCGGAAACTGCGTTGTCATATCCGATGATGAAGCCCGCGCCCGGAGCGGCCGTCGGCTCCGCCCCCGACGTCATCCGACAGCCCCGCGTCGCAAGATGACTCAAGCGAGCGTGACAGCCGTAAAATTTGCATGTTGACATGCACGCTGATTCGATCATCAACACCGGAGGTGTATCACCGCTCTTTATTTTTACTCCCTCGTTTTGTGTGTTGTCGTTGACTCTGAAACCCTCCTACATGGATAGGATTGCCGTGTCCGTGCTGTTCGCCGATTGCTTTATCAGATTTGGACGGTTCGTGCGGCTCTTGAAGGCCAATCTAAACTGAAAATTCGAAAATGAGTTCGATTTATCGAGGGAGAAATGGATCGTACTCACCGAGAAAGTGTAGATCTCGTGCAAATTTAGGACCTAAAAACTTTCGTTTAAAATAGATCTGAGGTAAATCGGTCCAGTTTTTTCTGAGATCGAAAGAGGACAAACTGTCTATGGCGGCTAAGACGAAAATGTGTCAATTTAAATTGAGGTAAATTTTGTAACGTCGGTCACGCAAATCGAAAAATCGAGGGATGCTGGCACATTTAGAGCTTAAGGGCTTTCTTTTAAAACAAATCCGAAGTAAATCGGTCCAATAGTTCCCGAGATCGAAGGAGGACAAACTGTCTAACGGTTACCCGTAAATGTGTCAATTTTAATCGAGGTAAATTTTGTAACGTCGGGCCCGCAAAATGGAAAACTTAGGGGTGTTGGCAAATCTACAGGCCAAGAGCTGTCGTTTAAAACAAACCGGAAGTAAATTGGTCCAGTAGTTTCCGAAATCAAACAGGACAGTAAAATTTTAATTATATAGATTCCGCAATTTTGAATTCCGGAGATCAGAAGAAATATGGCAACATCAAATTATTTATACGCGAGTTTTTGTTCGCAGCATTGTTGTCTAAATGTATAGTATACTATAAGAGATATAAAGAGCATAGAATGTTCCGTTGATCGAAGCTGTAGAAGTACTGAGCGCAAATTCGGGATCGGGGCGCCTTCAATTCGAGAGATACTTCCAGCGTTGCCGGAGAGACCTTAGTTGCGTGACCTAACTTAACCCAACCTGACTCCGTTGCGATCAGTTCTCGAGCCGTATGTGACCGATTAGAAACATTAAACTTGAGTACATCAATTATTACAGCAAAGGCAAAATTTGTTCCAACGTTTCGGAAGTACTTATCATGCATTATTTTTTACAAGGAAGCTCATAAAATTGTTTTTCTCGAATAGTTCTCCGTGAATCTGTGTCACTTCTTAGGCGTGGTAGGTAAATGCTATCTCGACTCCCGTTCTATCGACTTTTGTGAAACTTAATTTGGGTCATTTTTAACGTAAAAGTCGATTTTATGGTAAAATTTTCAAAATTACAAAATCCAAGATTGTGACGTGGCCTAAAGTACTCTATCTATCCTTGCAATCAAGGTATGAATTTGTTCTCTATTCATTTTCAAAATCAGTTTACTCTCAGCTAATAAAGACTTTGGTAGGGACTTCAACACTGATGTGCTGAAACTGCTTGTCGTCAATTTCTGAAAAATTCAACATCCGGATGAACCTCGTCACTTTCAAAGCATGTGGATTGTGAACGATTTTCCTCGAGACGTTTTTGGTTTTCCGGCAAGCGGGGATTCTACCTCACCAACACCGAAAAAGCATTTTAGTAGCATCAAAATTTATAGTATACTATGAGAGATATGAAGAGCATAGAATGTTTCGTTGATCGAAGCTGTAGAAGTACTGAGCGCAAAGTCAGGATCGGGGCGCCTTCAATTCGGGTGATACTTCCTGCGTTGCCGGAGAGTTAGTTTAGTTGCGTGACCTAACTTTACCCAACCTGACTCCGTTGCGATCCGAAAAGCGTTTGCGAAATTCAACATCCGGATAAACTTTGTCACTTTTAAAGCTTGTGGATTGTGAACGATTTTTCTCGAGACGTTTTTTTGTTTTTTGGCAAGCGGGGATTCTTCCTCACCAACACCGAAAAATCATTTAATTTGAATTGTCAATGTTTTACTTCACTTAGCGTGGAATTTTGATGAGGAAACATGTGGCATGGCTCCTAATTCTCACGTTCCCATCACGTTCCCATCAATTTGCAGCATTCATTCCGACCTTCTTTTGTATACGTGCCATCTAGAAATATGTGTGTGTCCGTAATGTACTGCTATTTTAAACGAATGCGGCATCTCGCTAACGCATTTCCCTTTTTGTTTCAGGCGGCGAAGTTGAAAGACTGTTGCGTGAATACTGGCAGAACCGTGATTTGGTCCAAAGCATTGGAGCTCACTTTTATCAAATTATCTACCCTGTACAGCTTAGACACCACGAAAAAATGGGAATTTCTACCCGAGAGGTAGGGTCTCCCAAGGTAAGAGTTATAACTCATTCCAAATACTATACTTTTTTTTTATGTTGCACCACGTGGTTTTAAAATGTCCTAGGAAACACCCACATCTGTGAAGCTATACATATTATTCAAACAACTTCAAAAGTAGCCAAACTTTTACAGATACTTCTTCCTCTAATCACAGCTTTTCCTCGTTGATAATTTACTAAATATTGAGAACTCTAAGCTGCGGTAGAATAATCGACGATAGACTAAAATAAATTGGCATCGTCAATCAACCTAAATGCTATGTTCGGTAATTTTGATGAGAAAGAAACAGCTTTCGTCGCACTTACGTCGGAATAGTTGAATTCAACCAATCGTTTCCCCCAATGGGCCTGTTGCAAACTTTTGCTAGAGCAAAAATAAGAGTTGTTTCTTGTAGATAATGCCTCAAAAATCACGATGAGCGCATCGGCAAACTCTGAATTGCACTCATAACTTCACAATCTGCGTAAGAAATTTGCGTTTTTTTAAGCTTCCCGCTTCAAAAACGATACTACGGCGTAGGTGAACATTTTGTTAGAGGAGTCGCTCCATCGTCGGCGATATTCATCATGGCCGACGCTTGCACGCAGTTCCGCGCGTAATTCAAGGAGAGTTCAAGGTCAATCCATTCGGGCGTGGAAAATATGAACGTTAACACACCGATTGTTATCTGGTCTAATCCAGTTCAGGTGTTATCTCGTCCCATCAAACGTGTTTTGGCGGATTGGCGTCGGCTATGATGATTATTGCCGACGGTGGAACGACTCCTCTTACAAAATGTTCACCTGTGCCGTAGTATCGTTTTTGAAGCGGGAAGCTCAAAAAACCGCAAATTTCTTACGCAGATTGTGAAGTTATGAGTGCATTTCAGAGTTTGCCGATGCGCTCATCGTGATTTTTGAGGCATTATCTATAAGAAACAACTCTTAGTTTTGCTCTAGCAAAAGTTTGCAACAGGCCCATTGAATTTTCTCGTGCTTATTAAGTCACTAATTGCTCTATGATTCGTCACTGGCAAATTCTCAATGAACCGATGCCGTACACTGATTTGTGACACTATGAAGACCTATTTTTTTTTTTTTTTTTTTTTTTTTNTTTTTTTTTTTTTTTTTTTTTTTTTTTTTTTTTTTTTTTTTTTTTTTTTTTTTTTTTTTTTTTTTTTTTTTACAATCTTTAAATAGCCCCTATTGGTAATCCCACGCTTACCCTAGCTCCACGTGACCATTGTCTGAGACCTTCAAACTCAGGTCACCTGTCCGGGAATCGAACCCGGGACCTCTTGGTTATAGGCTGGTTGGCTAAGTACGGGAACCAATCAGAAATAGATTCGCATTGTCTTTACTCTCAGCATAAAGGGACTCAAGATTCGACTATTAGTCTCCGACAGGTATATCGAACGGCGCCGTCATTAACTCAGTCTCTCGAGTTTCGAGACACAAATGGACGTATTTCTGCCAAACGGAGCTATGTGCATTAAGACATGAGCCCTGAGACCCATAAGAATATATGCATTACAGGGCTCACGTCTCAATGCACATAGTTCTGTTTGATGGAAATACGTCCAAATGTGACTCGGGGATGACTCAGAGCCCTCGGAGAGGGACGCGGCGGAAAAGCGTCTCACGAAAACCCCTCATGGTCGAAAATTGCACGGAGCCCCGCGATCCGGGCGCGCGGAAATCACGAGAAAGGGTAAGAGGCGAATCCGGGCCCTGTTCGGGTCCCTCGAGCAAACTCCACCGGGAGGGCGGAGAGGGGGGGGAGTTTATTAGGGTCGTGACGTCATGACGGCCCCGAGATTCGCGTATTGAGTTGCCATCACGTTTGCCGAGTTCTCGAGGCGAGTCCCGGGTCCCGAGCCCGTTTCAATTTGCCGTAAAGACTCATATTGACAGAGGCGGTCGTGTAATTAAGTGAGGCCCAAAGGGCTCGCCCTCGCCGCGCGCCGCGCCGCGCCGCGTCCGCCCGGCCCGGGCAGCGGAAGGAGCGAGCGTAGTTTGTGGAGCACCGCGAGATTCGGGGCAAGTAGTCCGCCGGCCGCGGAGCTCCGCCGCACAATGGTCCAGTTACACGATCAAATTGAGTCATCAAACTGAAGCTCTGATTGGTGGAAAAAAACCTGAGGTGAGGATGTGACCAATGAGAGGCCCAATTTGATGGCTCAATTTGATCGTGTAACTGGACCACTAGGGGCCGCAGACCTCGGAAACCGCCCCAAACTGCTTAATAGCTCGGTTGGAGCTCTTGCTTGCCGTGAGGATTCCCCTGTGGCGTATATGGGCACATTCTCAGAAGGACCCCTACACCCAACATGAACTGGACCGAGTTTATTAGAGAGGAACCAACCCACTTTTTCGGAAAAATTGAGTCAAGAATTTTTTCGAGTTCCACTCGACGTATATTTTCTCCTGCTAAAAACTGAAAGTTGGAAGTCAGTTATTAATTTGTGAAAAGAGGGGTTAAAGTTTATTTTCTACATTGAGCCTTATGCAAGAATGCAACTTTAAACCTCTTTTTCTCAGTTTCAACCTAATGTGGGGGGATTTCTCTCTGATGAGCTCGGTCCAATTGAGGCTCTCCAAGTTATACATCTTTAATAACATTTCATGCTGAACTTGTTATTAAAAATTTTCTATATCAAATCGTAAGTGCAAACTTAGAATTTGCGTTCTGCATTAAGATGAAGCAATATAAACCCATCGCTCACGAAGAATAGAATAAATTAGTAAAAAAAAAAAAACAGAAAAATTAAAAAAAAAAACCTAAATCATCTTAGATCAAACTGGCAATTAACGCTACTATACGCTTATTTTTACCAAATTTTACCTTTTTTCTGGTTTACGGAAATTTTAATCTTTTTGAGAAAAATTCAGCCTAGAAATAATGTGTCGATTCGCACGACTAGCTAAAGTTTGATGCCCGATTTGCCTCGAGAAGACTTTAAATTTTTAGCAATCACGGGAAGTTTGACTTTACGAGAACAGAAATATATGCAAACTATGTTTAACTTTCCCTTATCCTGAGACCCCGGAACCTTAAAATATTTTTGCTGTTTTTAATTTTTCAAGACGTTTTCAAAACGCGGAATTCGGGATCTACTATGAGGATCGCAATTTTTTTTTCTCGCACTGTGCCTTGAAATTTTTTTTTGAAATTTGAAGTTTGTCCACATTTCATGTGAAGCACCGCATCGTGCGTCGCACAGTGGATCGAGTCAATCGGAGAGGTCGGACATGGAATTTTCGACTAAAACTGCAAATTTTGATGTTTATTTCGTCACATTTTAAATTTTAAGGGGTGCCCCTAGAATAAAATTTCACGAGGAAACCAATAGAACCACTTTTATAATCTCAAAGTTTTGCATGGATGGAGTTTTAGGCTTTCAAAGTTTCCAAATTTTATCCGACCTCTCCTAGTGACTCGATCCACTGTGCGGCGCGGCGCGGGGGTCGAGGGGGCGCCGAAGGCACTTTATTCGTCATTCCGGCTTTATTCCATCGTGAAACCTAAATTTTGCATCTTCCTCGTCACCTCGCCCCGGCGCGCCCCGCCTTCCCGCGGGGGAGGTCTATTCAGATTACGTCGCGTCTCTCGCTCGGCGGAAGAAACCGCCACCCATCGCACCCCCCCCCCCTTGCGCCGCGCCGCGACGCTTTCGGGGACTAATAATTTCATTTAGAGTTTGGGGGCGCCGCGTCACCTCGGATTCGGGGGGCGCCGCGTCGCCCCGGATTCGGATGACGCCCACCGTGGCTAACGAGTCGATGACACCGCACTGATCTGCATCTGACGAGTTGTACCTGTGTCCTCTCTTCAGTTTTGCCAGATTCACTCCGAATTTCAGTGAAATTACTGCAGAAAGAGTGCACGAACAAAAGGAAATTTGAGATAAAAAGTATGATTGTCACATAGACTACATAGAGCCGTAATGTAAATGGGAGAGCTGGCGCCAAAATAAAATATTTTTAGTGCTAAATCAGGTAAATCAAAATACAATGGTACAAAAATAATATGGGATAACTCTAAGATCAAAATAATCGCACTCATGGTCGACGGGTTCCGAGCCCGGTGTGCGCCGAACTTCGGTCACTTTTTCGATACATTTTCGATCTAAAATGGCGATGTAGCTTACGTAGCAATTACTATCCTCTTTGTTTACATCAGATGGCCGGGTCCCCGTGTATCATAAACAATCGAATTTGTATCGTAAAAGTGACTCGGCGTGACATAGGAGTCTCAGAATTCGGAATGTGGGAAATGCTTAAAAGTGGCGCCAGCTCTCCCATTTACATTTCGACTCTAGCCGAGCAGGTTTACTTGGTGGTCAGCGCGTCTTCGTCTATAGGTTGGAGACAAGAAGAGACCCTCCACAGGTATCCTGGCAATGGTGGAAGCTTTATACTTTCGGAACTTTAGCATTCAACCGATAACCTAACTACGTGGTCGATGGTTAACAATGTGTAAGGAGTTTCATTTTGCAAGCAAACCCAAGTTTGAGAAACTTTTTTGGCTCATGACGTCACCCGAAGCTCATCATTCACTCAGTAGATTGGTCAGTAGCCGAAAAAAGGGCGATGACTGTTGCCCCCTTCTGATTTTTCACAAGGGAATATTGAATCCCCGAAAGTCTACCTGTCGTCAAGAGGCCAGTGGAGGGTCTCTTGTCTCTGATCTAGGTCAGTAGGTCCCGAATTTGAGTCCCAATTGGCATCACCTTTTCATGGAAGTCACGTGCGAATCTACCAAGACCGATCCACTTGGCCTTCATCCCTGAAAATATGAAAACCAAGAGCACGGAAGCTCCAAATCATTTAAAAATCTAATAAATTCAAATTTCCAATAACCAATTCCAGAATATTCGCTGAATTTGCATTGGATATGTATACAAGAACACCGGAATTTCTTGAAAATATTTGAAACTGCCATTGTCGTTGTCATACATTTATGTTGCCTCTGAAATCATCTGCGGGAAGATAAATAAATCTCTTTGCCGA